GTTTTCAACCGAATCTAACGTTGAAAAGCTACCGGACTTTTCAATAACGTTAGGATATACTCGGCTGTAAACATAAAGTTTAACCAGCGACTTTAGAAATAGTCTTCGACTTTACTCATGTGTTGGTGATGTATTTTTCCCGATAACGATGATTAAATATAGCAAATGTTTGGCTTTTGCTCCTTCACTCGTGTGTATTGCAGTCAACAAAACAGGAAGCGTTTGCTCGCCGTTTAAATCGGTGCCCAAATACTCGATCGTGATTGGTCTGCTCTCTCCGCACAGTGACAGTTGATTGGTCAAAAGGCAGATACAAGTTGTGAGGCTGCTAAGCGCCTGAAACCCGCGAGAGTAGAGCGGGTAAATGAGATGTTCAACTTTCCGCAGGGTGGCACCAAAAACTCACAGTCAGATCAAAGATGTTCCTATGTATGTTATACTAATATTAACAGATGTCTATACCAATGATTATTGTTTTTTATAGATTGAGTGTCACATTTTTAAAAGCAATTCAAAAATATAACCTTGTATTTGCACATTGTTGACAATTCTACAAAGAAGGGTTATACAAAAAATGACAGTTCATTTGATTTTGATAATAATTGTTAGTTCCACACCACTACCCAATTAAACTATTATGTTTATTTTCCTTATGCGGTCTATTTAGACAAAATATGTCTTTTGACAGATTACAGAAGTTTTGTTTACACCCAGGCATTCATTCATAACTTTGTCTGTTCTTTGCAGTGTTTATCTCTGAGGTATTGGACTTTTCGTGGTTACACAAGGATGACAGTTAATCAAATATATTTCTAGGTTCCAAATACATAAGGATCATATTTAGTTATACACGCTGAGATCAAGTTAAATCCAGCTGGTTTTGGCTGTAGGCCTAGAATATCGTCCACATTTGTATTACATTTCTGATTCCCTGACACATAATTAAAAAGCAGCATTTCATTTAGTTTTGGCATGCTTCAATTATAGATGCTTTAATCCTACATATGAAAGATACAAGTTTATCTTTCATTACAGGCGGTCTTTGTTGTCTGATTGGTGCCTGAAATAAACACAGTTTTTCCGTCAGTAAAATCTCCCTCAGCGGGGAAGCCTCAGTAACAGTTGTGTTCAAATGATCCTCTCAGCCTCTTCCTGCTCTCTGCTGCCAGTACCACACACTGACACCACTCACACACTGACACCACCCAGAGAGCAGAGCCGGGCTGTCTGTCGGCCTGCCTCTGCAAAGGTCACTCCTACAAAGAGCTGGAGGAGTTTGGACATCAGCCAGGAACAGTCGGAGGGAGGAGGGGGGGGGAGGTAGAGCGGAAAACTGACAGCTAAAAACAACAGAGACAGTCAGGTGCCTGAGGGCGGCCACTCTCAAAGGCCAGGAGTTGAGAGGGAGCGACAGACAGCTACATCACTGGGTCACCTCCTCACCCCCGCTGGGGTCACTGTGATGCTGTGTGAGGGGATACAGGAGGCTTATGGTTCTCATGCCATCTCTGACTCCTTTTCTCTTTTGGATGCAGTTTAAGTCAAAAAGGCTTCACAACGCAAGATAAGAAACCTAAAGATGGCATTTGTTTTTTAATTACCAAAGAATGCTTTCTTTTCTATCCAGAACCAGAGAATGCCAATATATTAATCCAGCCAGGTTCTTATTTGTGTTGTGTTCAAGGACACATTCAAAGACTCCCTTTTAGTATGCCTCAGGTCTGTATGTTAGGACAGCACTTTTGTGATACTGAATTAAGGTAATAATAGTTATATCAAAGGAAAGGTTGGCATTTTCAGAAAAGGCAAGCTGAAAGTTTTCCTACACAAAAAATAAGGGTAGCCTGTACATGGCAATGCTTTGCGTTTCTTCATCTTAAAGCCACCCGATGGCAGTCCATCGCAAGTGCACCAAGGGGGGCTGCACCAATACTGCCCTATGATTCAGATCTGCTGACAAATGTAATGGGTTCTTCCTTGGCCTATGCTTTACCATTCCACCAAGTTTCATGAAAATGAGGCTAGCAGTTTTTCCATATTCCAGACTGACTTTGATTCTGGTAAAAATGCAATGCTTTGAGCACCACACACCAAATTCTGTTCACCTCCATTGTAATGGGGTGGAGGCAGAAAACTCATAGAACGAAACTGAATTTATCAGCGTGACCCCATTTGGGACAAATATACTTATTTGTATGTTTTGCATCTCAATAATATACTTTCCTGCATTCATATTAAAGTTTCCCTTTACATCATAATTCACTGTTGCTCTCCTGGGACACACAATAATATGGGAATTGTTGACACAATATGTATTTGCATGAGGAGCATTTGATCCTAACGACACTGAGGGTCCTTCCCTCCGTCATCCTGTCATCAGGAGACACACCGGCGGCTGCTGCAGTGACATTCAGCTCCTTCTCTCCACAGCTTGATGTTTTAGTGCTCGCTGACTCGAGGGACGCTGCCTCCACCATTCACCACTGCTTTCACGAGGAAGCAGGCCTCAAAGCGTGACACTGAAGACCTTGGAGAGCGCTGCCCGTGAAATAGTTCATTGCAGGTGTCCGTGCAGGAACATTGGAGCCTCTGCAGCGGGCACAAAAGTCCCTCTGGAGACTAATGTGTCTGTGTAATGTGGGTGACCTCAGGAGGAGCTGTACTGAGGAGCCTCAGTGCATGGTGATACTGCTTCTGGATCTGTGCACCACGCTGTGCAACAGCCACCGTGGATCCTGACTGTTGGCCCTTTGGTAGGTGAAGCTTTGTGCAAATTAAATGTAATCCCATTTTCCAGATCACTTCCTGCTGTTTTTCACCCTCAGCTGCCATTGGCTGCCCGGAGCGTGAGGCCTTCCTGCAGAGTGCAGACCCTCAAAGTCCCAAAGTTCCCTCCAGAGGGAGTTGGAAACGCCTCCATTGGACTCCTTGGTTTGCTTCCGTAACATATTGACATCTCTATGTAACACTCACGCTTCTATTGGCTAGCGCTACCACACATTGTACGTGATAGTTGATTGGGGACATCTCTAAACGGTTGACCAATCACAACAGAGTGTGCAAGCTAACCAATCAGAGCAGACTGGGCTCTGGTTTCAGACAGAGGGTGAAATAAGGTGCTGCATCAGTACGAACAAATAAACACCTTTTTGAACATTACAGAATGGAAACATGTCACAGATACAGTAGAGGCACACAATACAATAATTAACCTGAAAATGTGCATTATATGGCCCTTTGAACATGTGCCCTATCTAGCTTTAACTACATTTATAGTGAACACAAATGAATTATAGTGAACACAAAGCATGAAAAAACTCCACATCTACAACAACAAAAACGCTCCTCACATATTAATGCAGGTGATGACAAATACTACTATATGGTGTATTACTCAATGACAGTACAAAGAAGGACTTCACTTTTGTTACTTAAACTGCTGTCAATAATGTATTTTTCACTCCCTTTACTGAATGCTGCTTCATTAAAACCGTTTTATTTCTCTCATGGTTCGAGCGGCCCACTTGGTCCAATATCTGACACCTCCACATTTATCATTTCTCCAGGAAGTCACACGCAGATGTGCAGTGGGCTTGGTCCTTACAGGAAACGCTGATAGTCTCGTTGTGGTGGATGCAGCAGTGACAGTCAGGAGAGCTCTGCAGTCTTTCGCTGAGAGTTCCCACAGACACCAAGCGTCACGTCTGAAATCAGAGCTCTGTAATGTAAACCAGACTTTCAACAGCTGGTGAGCGACACTACAGTTAAACAACGAGCCCAGGACTGAGCAAACACAGGCTCTAGTTACCTGGAGACCATCCTCAGCTTGTAACTGAAAGACAACATTTTAACATGTTGACATTAGAGATTATTTAATGCATCATCAGTGACAAGTTATGTTTCCCTTTGTAATTCCTACAAGAAGAATCGCTGGAGAGTTTGATATTAAAGTGGACCTATCATGCTATATTTGAATAATATACTGTAGGACCATACCTATATAAGGCATATTTATACTTTTTATTTTTCAAAATACCAAACAGATCATGCATTTTAGCCATTCCTCATTTCGCTCAATTTAACACTGTCTTTTCATGGGCTGATTCTGTGAGAACAGCACCATCTACAGGCCTGGCATATGTACTACAGCGTCTCCAGCGCTTTCGAACGGCAATGTCCGTGGCTGTCTTCTCGTGATTGGTGGAGTTGGCCCAATAGCCGTAGCGCCACTTCTGTGACGTCATAGAAGTGTTCAAATCTGGATCAGTCTATATCAGATCCGTTGCAGCCCCTTTTTAAGAGATTTGGGTGTGGAGGAAAATAGAGAGGGTTGTGTTTTCTGACACTTGGTGAGTTCCCTGGAACACCGGGGACACATATTAATGTATAAAAGACGTACAAAAGTGCATTTTGCATGATAGGTCACCTTTAAAGGAACATGCTCATTGGTTTCTTGCAGAGCTCAAGTTATGGGATGATTGCTACGACTCCGTTTGTTAAATATAAAGCTACCATTTTAGACAAAATATCCAACAATACTTATATCAACATTGAGTGTTAACTTTCCATTATGTGATTTGATCATAATAAATACAACATTGAATTCATTGTAAATGTATTGATTGTCTATGGTACATTTTAATTTAAAAAAGTTGACCATATTTCAGTGGATTTGTATTTGAGTTTCAGGAATATATTAAGACTCTTAAATACAAACAAATGTAGTTAAATGTATTTTTTAAAATTCTAGTTTTTCTGTAGCATTATGCAAATGTCTGGAATATTTGTATAATTAAATGTTTAATCAGTAAAGATACATAAGTAGAGTTCCCAAAACGTCAAACTAATGATTTCTTTAGGTCCAGGGTGTTCGTAAATGAAAAGCTGTGGCTGTGGAGGAACCGACCAGCAAAGGAATAACACTTTAACATTTACTGTGATACAACACTGTTAATGTTATATGGAATAAAACGTGTCAAAAGAAAAACCTTACACTGTTAGGATCTTTATGATGTTTTATTCCAGCACAAGTCTTTTGTGTTGTAAAATGGCTGTGTAGCTAGGAATTAAAGGAGAAGTACAAAATGGTAAATTACAGACAGCTCTAGAATAATTTGTTTAAATCCCTATTGTGTTTATTTCCTAAAACCACATCAAGGAAAAACATTATTTCCCTGCCTTCTTTGGAAACATGGTCAGATAATACAAAAATAAAATAAAATAAAAAGCTGGAGAAAAAAAAAAAAGGAAGAAGGACGAAGCTTCATTTCAAGTCACTCACACACTGGAGGGGAATCTGAAAGGGCCACGAATGAATCACATCACCAGCCTGATTTAAACGTGTTACCTACCCGGTCAAGTAGCCCTTTTTTTTGCATTTCACTCACAGTTTCTAGCAACAGGGAGGGCAGTAAAATACTCAAATGCACCATTTATGCATTTGTTGATGACAACAATAATTGCTGCTCCTCCATCATTTTCCTAATCGAAGCAGGCTAAGCAATTACATAAAATCAACTTTAGGTACATTCGAGAGAAAAGCTGCGTCATTGCAGGCCCTCTCAGAGTTTCCCTCACAAGTGAAGAGTGATCCCTTCTCCACTCCAAGTTATAGCTCGACATCACTTTTTTTCTTCTTTTTTTTACAAATGTTTGTCACAAGGGAGTGTGAGGAAACAGCATTATCTGGGATTGTGGTCTACCTGGACATCAGGTAAGGCTTGATAGTCGAGGTTTTCCCACTAAATCCTGATCCTGAAATGTACAATGGTACAAATTTGAAAGTGGGCCCATGTGTCACTGTGCAAACGCTGTGTCAGCCAGCACACGGACGTACAGTAGCTCTAATGTCTGAAGCACACAACAACTTCCAGGTCAAACATTTTAAAATTAAATAAAAACAAAGAAAACACTGAGGTTAACACTGAGAAGTGAAGGGAAAATCCTCGCTTTCTTTTTTTTTTTTTAAAAACATTCATGATATTTTAAACAAAAAATTCTCTGAAATAATCACGGACCAAAAGAGAGAAAGAAACGCTGCCGTCATTTCCAACAATTAAAACTCTTCCTCACCTTTGTTATGTACAAGATTTAAACATACCATGACATGAGGACGACAGTTTCATGTAATTTAAAATGAAATCTAATTCGACCACTCGTGGTGAAATCGCCGCCGCACTCTGACATCACAGAGCAACACGACATGATTCATATATATCAAAAGAGGGGGGGAAAAGACAACCACACACACTCACTTAGGCAGGTTATGCTGTAAATGTACAGTAATGACACCTATAGTTCTGTAAGCCAAAATCTCTATTTTAGAATGCTGAACATTAGGGTAGCATTCTATAAAAATCATATTTTTCCCCCATGTCTTTTCCCCACCCGACAACACTAAGCATATGGCTTAAATATTTGTAAAACTATGTAGTCCAATGGGGGATAAGAGTCTCTGCCTTCTCAGTCTGGCTCGCTGAGATGCTCCTTCAAGGATACTCTGCTGTGTGTAGCTGCACATGGCTGTGTGTGCATGTGTGTGTATGCATGTCGGAAAGCAGAAGGGAATCCACAAAGAGGGAGTTACTTTTGAGTTGATCAGACTGCAATTTCTTGCCCTGCGTGCCAACCTTTTTTTCTGCTTTGCAATAAAATGAGCACTACGGCACTGTCTCCTCTTCCTCCCTTTAACGTCTGACACAGAAACGATCCCTAAAACAAGCGCCGCATCATAGCCGCCGTTCCCACTTAGGCTCTCAGCAGGGCTGCCAGTGTAAACATTATCCCCCTTTTTCTCACAATACTGCCTCGATAGACAGGCGACAAACAGGAAAACAAAAAGTCAACAAAAAGACATCAACAACTACATACAATGGCCGTCGTTTTTTTGGAGATATGCAGGTTAGGGGAAGAAAACAAAAAGAAAATTAAAAACATTGACAGCTACCACGCAGGAACATTTCCTGGGACAGGGAGCAGTTAGGGCAGTATATGGATCCTTAGTGCAATGAAGCCAGAGGAGCGGCAGCCTCAGCGTCCACAGCCGCTCGCTCTGGAAGGTGTCAGCGGGCTGAAAGAGAGGTCCAGTGGGCTTCATCAACTCTCGCCAGGAAGAAGATTAAGGGCAGACATTATGCTTCTAGTCACATACATCCAATCACACACACACACACACACACACACACACACACACACACACACACACACATACTTTATACTCTGTAAAACTACAACGGCTAAAGCCTAGAGGGGAAGAGAGAGTGCGGTCCAGAGCGTCCTCCGGAGGAGTCCTGAGCCTCATTTTTCGTTCACTTCCAATACAAAGTTATGTCAGTGTGAGCGCCTACATGTATGAGGACGTGTAAACATCAAAATGTGAGTCGTGACAAGTGCGAGAGATTATTCTGCTAGGCCGTTGGAGCGAGTGTGTGGTTTTAGGTTTGTGTGCAAGTTAACTATGCCTGTGACCAGTTCCTTATTGTATTTGTTTTCTGTGTGTTCCTCATGTTTTTTTTTGTTTTGCTATTAAGTCTCTCCACTGTTGTAAATGTACATTCATCCATCGTAGGGGGCAAGTGTGACGCTGGGCCACACACCAACTGATCCTGAGGCTCTTCCAGTGGTCCAATAAAGACTCTCGCCTCATCAGCGCGCTCAAAATAAACAGCAGTAGAGGTACTGGAGGACGCTGTACCACGCGTAGCCCGAGGCGAACGCAATCGACTGGACAACACACAGCCACACGGGGTCGAGGATCATCGGCCGGGACGCCACCTCCTTCTGTCCGTCTTGAGGGGGGAATGATCCTGTGGAGGACAGAAATACAGACCAGTCACTTTTGTGCTCCTTTTTATTTTTCAGAAGATTTAAACCAAGATGTTGTGATTTTTGGGTCGAACTGAAATCATCATGGAACTTTTTGCATACCATTTCCAAGCAGAGAAACGTATACAACACACTACAGGAAACGGAACATCCCAAACAAATCACAATAGGGCCCCTTTAATTTATTTTAGCTCAACAATATGATGTGAACATGCCAGGTATTGAGGACTAAGACTTCACGACTACTTGTTCCAGTGAGGTTTGACTGACTCATCATTTGCAGTCAACACATGCATACAAGAAACATTGTTTTACATATTTTGGGTAGTAATAATCAGGTTTCCTGCAGATAGATGTCTTCGCCATGCATGAAGGGAATCCTATTTTTTTCAATAACCCTCATTCAAAACCACAGGTTAGGGTTAGGGCTGTCCCGAATACCATTTTTCGGGCTCCGGATATTCGGTAGCAATAACAGGTGTATTTCGGTGTATTCACGGCATTCATTTTGTTATTCTACAGTATTGTTGTTTTAGAGTTATTTGTTAATGTAACCCAATTTGTGTTCTTTGACATTGAAAAGGATATCGCATTGTGTTGGCTTCCTATTTTGTATGGCCATGCTTTTATTTTGAAGGAGAGTTCGCGCTGTTGACAGGAAGTTGTTGTTGTTGCTATGGAAACAACGTGACGGAGATTAACGGAGAAAAGTCATATCTACATATAAAGACGGAGAAAGTAAACGATAACGTTTATGGTTAAGTGTTAGCACCCCCCAAAGAGGCACAAGCTCTTACGTTCATATTGGAGATTTCAATAAATTCAATTTGAAAAAAAAGGGGAAAAAACGAATAACGAAATTGAAACCTGAATAGTACTCCAACGAACGTATATTCGGGTACAGCCCTAGTTAGGGTACAGGCAAAGTATCCCTATGATTAGAAAACAAAAACAAAGAAGCCTTTAAAAGTGTAATTACATCTGTTAGAGCTTCCACTTATCCACCTACAACAAGCTGAGTTGAGTACAAAGTAGTGTCAAATGGATGGATCCTGCTAAATGTTGTAAATGAGGGTTTCTAAATTCCTAATGGTGTAAGTAGGAGGCATAATATGATGCCAGTGCTGTATCACGGAAGTTGACAGTCTGTCTCCTAGCAACAGTGGCCCTCAACTGTCAGTCAAACGTTGCTAAGGGAAACGCCCACTCAGAGGAGTACAGCTCGGACAAATATGTGTTCATAAATTACACTTTTGAAAAACATGTGCGCCACAGCTGCAGTATATATCTAGTATATTTCATATATGTTTATACTGAAGGAGGGAGAAACAGACCTTTGGCGTAGAAGTGGTTCAGCAGCTCTTCCTTCTCCACAAACCTCTGATACAGCCAGTCAGTCAGGGCATCTGCCTCCACAGGAACCTCTTTTATTGGGTACATCCTGCAGGAGAAGGGAGACAGGCAGACAGGGGGTGAGATGACACTCAGAAAAGGATCACTGAAGTCTCTCTCAGCACAAACGCTCTGCATTGATCGTGGAAGCTGTGGTCCCTGAGCGCAGACCGGAGTCTATTACAGTGTGTGTGCTGCTGTAGCTGCAGCTTGTTTTGGGGATTCATTAACCGGCCGCCTCATTAGAGAGAGAGACAGGAGTGCTGAGGGGAGCCTGACAGGAGACACACAAAATGCTTTGGTAACAAGTGTGTGGGAGGAGACACTGAAAAAGTAAAAATCAATGTTGCCACCAAGGCTTAGAGAGGCAGCACTATTAGATTCTGCCAACCATGGAAAACTCTTTCATCTGTGTGGGGGACAGGGAGTGATTAGTTGGCTGTGAGTAGTGATTATTTAAATATATAGATATTATACTGTTAAGTTTTTAGATAAACCAAAGAATTTTAGCAAAGACTAAAACTGCCCATGGTGAATTCTTACTTTTAATTTTTATTTGCAAAGGGGACAGAACATTTTGTTTGAAACAAGTCAACATTTGAAAAACAAACCATGACTGATCTTGTTTATCAACTATTAAAACAATTCAAGACACTTTATTGGTAAGACCACTAAGAATATTTACAAAAAGCCTTTCAAACCAAACGCATAACTGCTAAAGTAGGATGATTATGTGGTTCTGTTTATTTGGTATACCCTGATGAAGAATATAATCACATCAACATTTGGTAGTAAATCATGGATTAAGTTCATACGTCTGTAACTCGCTGTTTCTTCACCCTTAACAAAGGTATTCATTTTCCTGCCTCCTAAGAAAATCAGTCTGCTGTCAGAGAAATCTTGACTTAAAACCTTCGATGCCAATCTATTTAATGTCAAAACTGACTCAATTGTTTCATCTTTATTCATTAGCCTGACTAACATCTAGTTGTCAATCTCCACTAGCACCTTTAATTCTCAGACCACTTCCTGCCACACATAACAAACACCTTCTTTTTTTTTTAAAGGTTGTAATAAGCAGCGCATGGCCGCTGTAAAAAGAGTGCTGGTGAGGAGTGTAACCAGAAGGGGTCCCCAGCAGGCTGCGCTGAAAACACTCTGCTCACCTTCAGACAGAGGTTACCACCGCCTCCTCCCTCAGACCAGCGTTTCCTGCACTTAACATTTGCTCAATAGTCCCGACTGGGTATTGTCCTTCGTAGAAGTACACATGTGCGTACGAGGAGAGCTTCTGTAAGAGGGAAGTAATAAGTGATACGGTATTGATTTCCTGAAGGCATCAATGTACTAAAAAAGCAATTTAAGGAAAAGACAGCAGCACCGTCAGGAGGATGTCTTGTGGTTTAAATCCAGTTTAAGGACAAAGACACCCCCTCTCTGTCCCCTCTGTTGTGGGGGAGAAAACATGACTTCATCATAAGCCATAATACCCTGAGTTAAAATAGGTTTTTAAAAATAGGAAATAGTCAGGAGTTGTGATTGTTTTGAAGTGTTGCTTGAGTCTGGATACATTGTGAAATATATGATTTTGGAAAGTGCTTTTATTCTGGTAACTAGCAGAAATGTCTGATTTCAGAAATAATGAGCGACTAAATCAATTAAATGCTCATCATTTCACTTTCTCGGAAAACTGCCCAACAATCTTTCCTGAAATGTTAGAATTTCGTTTTTGTATTTGTCTTATTTAATTATGGACTCTTGGACAGATGAAGCAACACAAAAAGTCATCAAGGCTGGCTCTGAAGACTTAGAATAATAATTCTGACATTTTAGAGACAAAATGATTCATCCAGAAAATGTTCATTCATAATGTAAAAAGAGTTGATTGCTGTGCTGATACATGTAATTAAATGTTAAAAACATGTCCAAACGTGGTGTCCACATGACAAATGTAATCTTATGACATAACGCAGTATATTTAGAAGTTGAACATACGCTTTAAATAAGGGCAGGAGCTGAGGGTTCAGCAGTGACTTGTGTTTGTTTGGTACATTCATCCACGGACTCTCTACTCATTATCCGGCAGTTCAGTGTGTGGGCGTCGCTCTGTGGCGAGGCACAACAAGGTCCTGTTTCAGTGGAGAAACGTTGATGTCCCTTGCAGCATCATAAACTCCTGTTAAATCCAACATAAAAAAGATTCAACTTATTTTATTTTATTTTTTTATTTAGCCTTTATTTATACAGGTTTAGATCTCATTGAGACACAAGGTCTCATTTTCAAGAGAGACCTGTCAGATTATATATTATTACATATTATTGTCATTACGTAGTACAGGTACTATGTAACAAAACGGTTTCTCTGCATTTGACCCATCCTAGTGTTAGGAGCAGTGGGCTGCCATTATGTACGGCGCCCGGGGAGCAGTGCAGGGAACGGTGCCTTGCTCAGAGACACCTCGGTAGCACTTGGTCTTTCCAGTGACCTTCCAGTTGCCAAGCAAAGTTCCTATGGACTTCATCACCACCGTCCACTGACTAAAATCCACCACTGTCTCTAAAAGGTCTGTAGTGGTTTCTTTAAAATGGAGGTAAGCTGCTGTGGCCACCTGACCTGTTGATGTTAGGATCAAGAGATTGATTTCACAATGATTCACCTACAGCCTCAGCTGATATCAGGTGTCTATGATGTTTTTAGTCACCAGCACTGATACATTCAGAATGAGGCTGAGAATAACAGTCAAATCAATGCCCCCTCATCATAAGACTGATTGAATACCATGTAGACAGAAAATAGCAATAAAGTGAAATCAAGTACCACAAGAACATAAAGATGTTTTCCTGTAACTGCTGTTGCGATGAATGCTCATTTCTTATTGGCTGCACATGAAGTTCCCATTTTTAGTTTTTAAAGGGGGGTTGTAATACTTATTAAAGCAAAGTCAGTATAGAGTTTAGAGAAATAGATTATTACAGAATATATTATTTGATGTCAGACAGCAAAGGCAAATAAACTAACCAACTGAGGCGGCGGTGGACAAACAACCTTCTTTCTCTGAGGTAAAATACAGTTTTCTTCAATGGCGTTTGGTGGATTTAATCCTAGATTTGGCGTGTTGTGTTCTTTATTTCAGCTATCGAAAAAGACGATGTTACTGTATGATGAAGTTAACTATGCTCTTTTCATCATCAGTTTATTTGTTTAAATGGATGTCTGACGGCAAGGAAAATTATTGAAAATATTCTAAATATAGTGTACACTTACATTGATATTGATTATTAAGGTGTGTCTTGTCTTAGGTTGCTAAAATACATTTAGCTTTTGTCCCCCTCAGAGCGTACAGTACATTCCTCCGTCAATCTTACGCATACAATTTCACTTGTAACGGTGCGTTTTCACTGAGAAGTGATCGGTGACGGCGGTGTTGTGGTCATTAAATAGTGAATGTTTAAATCTAACCCATGCAAGCCAACAGAGCGTTTCACAGCTGCTGCAGAGAGAACGCCTGCCAAACCGATAGCTGTGTAATCCTGCCGGGCTTCGGGCACTTATCAGAAGCATTTAGTGACTCGGGGGGCAGGTGGAGGCCACAACGCTTTCATGCAGCTGAAATATTCATGGAGGAATCAGGATCTTTGGTTTCCAGCTGAGGCTGGAGGAGGCGCTGCTCATTTGGGTCTACAGCATAAAGACCTGCTGAGATCAGAGTTCCCGTTAGAATATTTTTTTGCCGGTCAACATGTCCGTTGTGATATTCTAACCTGAAGTGTGTGTGTGTTGCTCCGTTCACCGCTGCATGTGATCATGCAGAGCTGCGTCTCGACTCGTCAGCAGCTGATCTCTCTCTCCCGTCTGATTAGACTTCACTCGCGTTTATGTCCATATCGATCAGATCTAGCTAGTTCTAGCTAATGATATGACTACCTGCTTATTAAAAGACACCTAAACAATAAGCGTCGCTATGGGTGAGGCCACAAAGTATAGCGCAGCATTATGCATTTGTTTACATGCCCACCGGAACCCCGAGGCATTACCAACAGATCAACGCACAATCAACCCATACAGGACATCTCTTTCTCCACATTAAATGTTAGACATTAGAATTGACTATTCTTGTCCGTCACATACTCTTCTTGTCTGTCACATATGATGTGGTATTGCGCTAAGGGGAAATTATTTTTGACTGGACATTTTGACCGGAGAGATTTAGATTTGCCGGTCTTCAGCATATTTTACCGGTCATACTCCGGTAATTACCGGCTAACGGGAACTCTGGCTGAGATAGCATGCAGTATCTCCCTGTATCATTGGTAATCAGCCAGGTTTGTTTGGAGAGCAAATTTCACGTGACATGTAACTTCACACAGCCAAAACTCAACAGCATCTTGAAGTTCACAGGGTTTATTTCCTGCCCTGAAATCCCCTCACATTTAAGCAGCTGCCTGGCTTGGTATTTTTGAAACACTGAAACAATCATTGCTTTTTTATTTTTTAAATGTTGCCAATTTCTTTTGAATTCAATAGCTTTTAGTGTGACATTACAGATGTTAACGTTAAGCTTATTGTATTTCAGTATCATGCAACTTTCTCTGCATAATCACCTTTGAGAAGAGGTAGAAGTTTAGCTTTACATTGAAGCAGCAGATACTTTATTACTTAAACTACACTTAAAATACGTTTTACGCTGAGTAGTACCTTTTTCAGCATGTGTGGATACCTTGGAGAGCTGGTGCTTTAGGTGCTGACGTGTAACAGGTTGTAACGAAACATTAGCGGTCCAGTTTCAGCACATAGAAGTCAAACGGGCTTTGATCGATCGGTGTGTAGTTACCTCAAAGACATGCTGGGATTTTGTTGACAGCAGTGTAACAAATTGAAACTTTATATTATGCTGAGTAAAAACAAACAAGAGTATGGAGGTATGTGTTGTGCCAGGAGATGCAGTGGCACGTTACAGTAGAGATGGTAGTGGTGGTGATGTGTTGGCATGGTGCCACGGCAACGCTCTCATTTCCACCCTCACCCACTTGGCAGCAGCCTGCTTGTTAA